AATTAAAACTCGAATAAAATATTTTTTTTTTAAAAAAGTTCGAAATTAGTTTGAAATGAGTATTTTTATTTATGATAGAAAAACATGAATCTTTTCTTCATACATAAAAAGATCCGATTTTCTTTTCAGCTTGTAACTTTAAAGTAATTTGAATCGAAAAATGATGTTCCCACTTCCCTTTTTTGCTTAAAAAAATGAAAGAAAAAAATTACAAAAGAATTCGAAACTCGTCGAGGGTTTTGAGCCTCGTGCGGGATATTATTTCCAGCTAAAGCCTTCTTTTCTAGGAGAGAGAGAAAAAAATCATTTCATATCGCTAAAGTGTAATGAAGCTAAAATTCGTTTTTCATTGGTGAAAACTCATTTTTGTTTGGTGGGTGAAGTTCAGTTCAGCGCAAAGATGAAAATCTCTTCGAAATTACATCATTGTGAGGGTTAGGTTTCAAAATTGAAAAGGATTTCGCTCTGAACAAGGATGCCTCAATTGAAAAATTTTCGCTTGGGTGCTATCATGCAAGTACAAATAGTTAACATTTCACGAAACAGACATTTTGGATTGGATACACTATAACTGTAATCTGAGGATATTAAATGAATGAAATTGTTATCTCAAATTGTTATTATTTGAAGAAAAATTATCGATGCAATGCACTGGTTGGACAGAAATTAAAGACGAGATAGTTTTTCTAATGTCCTATCTTTCAAAAGTATTTTAAATCATCCTATGATGCTGGAACATAAGAAAAATGAAGAATACTTACCAAAAAATAAATTCGTATAAAATAAAGGAACCTTATTTAAAACTTATCTATGAGAAAAATTTTGCAAAAGAACAAACCGTCCAAGTGATAAGCAAGGACTAATTCAGATTTTAAATGGTATTGTGATCAATCCTGGTTTTTATGCAGATCTGCCCATGCTGAGTATAGGGCTATTTGAGAGCTGTTAAGGCATGGCTACCCAATCCCGTTGCCGCGTTAAATTGCTACCAATGACTGTTGACATACTACCATGCGTCTGCTTAGAGTTCTCTACACGTGTCTGATTAGATCCGGAAACCTTGCCTGCTAATAGATGCATTGAATATCTTTACTTTCCACCAGCTTTGCGACAGCCACTTTAAGATAAAACGTAAGATGAGCTAAAATCAAAGCTAAAATGCAACTTTCTATTTGCGTTCTTAAGCAAATGTATGCTTTGAAAATAATTGCTTGTTAGACACAAATGTCTAAGAATACGCGCTAATGCAAGAATGCACATTGTGAGTTTGCCCTTTTTCGAGTCAATTCATATTTCGGAGTTTTTCTTCCCGATTCTGCCTCCCAACCTAAACCCTTAGAATTCGATGAAAATATTACAGGTATCACAAGAACTAATGGAAAATGCATACTACATAATTACAAGAGCTAATAGAAATAGCCTGAAAATTATCTCCTAAATCACGACGGTAAATCTATAAAATATTTATAAAAACTCACATTTTCTTAATGCCAGATGCAACTGTGCATGAAAATTGCCTATTTTCCAAAATCAAGTATTTCATTTTTTCAGTTTGTGATTTCAAATTCGTTCGAAAGTAATTTTGTATTCGAAACTGTTTGAATTTGGATTTAAATATACGTTTTACGCTTCATGGCGCATTTTCCATTATTTTTTTCAAGAAATTAACTGAATTAACTGGAAGTTATATTGTTTGCCTAATTTCATACTTTTTTTTTCTAATGAGCTGCACAATCGGTCTCGCCGATGAGCAGACCTAGTGCGTTCTCCAGAGGTGGTATCCACTCTTTCAGGACCACCACCATGGGTGAGATACCGTTGGTCATGTTAATTTGGACGTCTAGTTTCTGCCACACTAGATGGCAGCACCGAGACTCTATTTGGATGCTAAAGTGCACTAGGAATTTAATTTTGCCGGAAATGCCAAGAGCCAATAAGGCACTCCAGGGATCTTTTACATGCCGCATAATCATACGACATGGCCGCTGAGGATTTTCTGCATCCTGAAAATCCGGTGTCTGGGCCGGGGATCGAACCCGCAGACTTGGGCTCAGAAGGCCGACTTATTTCATACTAAAAAGTCATATTTACACATTCACATTAAAGAGATATTCCTGATTCTGCATCTGCGAATGTCTTGAAACTTGTTTCTGACCATCAATACCAACTACAGAAAGCATTCTAGATTTTGAAACCTTATCATTTCTGTTAAATTAAGAGCTATATAACTTAATATACATCAATCCAAACTTCGCTTGAAGAATATCCCAGATTAAGGATTAAGGAAGACGGTTTTGAAACTTTTTTTTCAGATCATTAATACCAGCTGCAGAAGACTGTCTAGATTTAGAAACCTTATCAACAAATGCTCCATCGCGTGAAAAAGACATGATTCCAAACTTCATTACAAAATATTCAAGATTTTTTTATTTCAAAGATAAAGATTTAAAACTCGTTTCATTCGGTCTGAGAACAAACTAATCCTGCATTTTTCTCTTTATTAATCTCGTCCACAGAACAAATACTCATAACAAGAAAAATCCAACTTTTCCGGTTTCTTTTAACAAATTTTTTTCACTTGGACTTTCTAACAAAATTAAATTTAAAGACGCTATAGCCTTCCAAAATTAATTTTCCACTTTAATATATGACAGAGACAAACTTCAATAAAGCTTGATGAAGAGTCACCTAACTAGAAACAAAAAATGTCAAAAACTGTAAAGTTAAACTAGTTTTTTTCGTCGAGCAAAAAATTACATGGAGACAAAACAATTTCCGACCCCCCGACAATACACAAAAAAGAACTTTTTGAAGGGGGGGGGGCTGGAATACATTTTTGAAGAAACTGTTCTCTTCCCATCTTAGTATGCAAACATTGCGAGACTGTTTCTAATAATCTTTTCGAAAATTGAAAGGATGGAACGACGAACGAGGAAGAACTGCATGAAAAAAAAGAATAAAGCAATCGATAAAAATTTAATTAGTTGGGGTGCGCCGGATTTCCTCTGAATTCTCTCTACCCTGTAATGTGTTCTTTTAGAATTACTAAGGAATTATATTCAAAGATATGCGAACATTTTCTCTAGATTTTTTTAAAGAAAAAAAATACTAATTGAAAAATGAGAAATTAAAACAGTAAGAATATATAATAAGGAAAAAAATACGCTTAACTTAAATGTACCATGAAATAATCGTTTTTAATACTAAACACGCATTCATCTGCAACCCGTTAATTAAAATTTTAATGTAATTGTTGCGAGAAAAATGTCTTAAGCAAAAATCAGTAAAAAAATAAGTAGCTTCATGCCAATTCAAATGTAAGACTTTAAAAAATTGACAAGTAAGGAACCGTAAATTAATCTCATGAATTTTCTAAGTATCTATACGTTTTAAATTATTCTGAATGCATAAAAATCTCATAATTAATCTGAATGAATAATCGAAATAAGGTCTTTTTAGGAAGAAAAAAAAATTGTTTTTTAAATCTAACAAAGCTGAATAATTTATTTAGGATTTTTGTTCCAGTTTGACTGAATTGTAAAAATATTTTTCTAGCCTCAACTAGTAAAATAAATAACACAAATTCAATTTAATAAACCTAATATGTGTAACATATTATTAAATTAATCTCATGAATTTTCTAAGTATCTATACGTTTTAAATTATTCTGAATGCATAAGAATCTCATAATTAATGTTAATGAATAATCGAAATAAGGTCTTTTTAGGAAGAAAAAAAATTTTTTTTTAATCTAACAAAGCTGAATAATTTATTTAGGATTTTTGTTCCAGTTTGACCGAATTGTAAAAATATTTTTCTAGCCTCAACTAGTAAAATAAATAACACAAATTCAATTTAATAAACCTAATATGTGTAACATATTATTTTACAGGTATGCAATTTTAATTCCTCCAGGTATGCAATTTTAATTTCAGAAGTGGTATCTTATGGTTTTAAAACAACCAGGTTAAATTATGAATTTTTCATGGTCGTAAGCAATCCTCAAACCCGTAATTTTAGTCAATTAGTAATAGCAACAAGAGTACTTTTTTATAACGTCAAGCTAAATAGAAATAAACAATTATTTCAAATTCATATAACCGATTGTGAATTTAATTGTAAATATCATTTGTTAATAAGAACTTTGAAACAGTTGTCATAAGGAGTTTTCTGGTATTTGGTTAACAGGTCAATTTTAAAAAGACGCCATTCAGATAATCTGAGCTCACTCAACCATAGTATTTTTAAAATTACAACTTGGAACTTAATGCTCTCATGCATAAGGGCCTCATATTAAGACTCAAGTGTTTTTGCTTCATAATGCTATTCAGATTCACATTTGTGCTGTAATTTGCTAGTAGTTCTCATTTGAAGACTCCAGACAGTTTTTGGAAGCCTCACTGGTTGACAGGAAATTTAGGATAGTTAAAAGTACATGATCTCGTAAAGAAGTAGATGGAGGACATGAGAAAGAAGTGAAAAACTGCGTTAAAGTGCAGAATGATGTTTGGCAGTTTGATATTTGGCGATTTGAAAACATGCCTATGAAAATAAACCAAGAGTCAATCACATAACGGAAAATAGAAATAGTGATAATCAAATGCTGACGTCATTAAAAGCAGAGACAGCAAGAAATGAATATTATGGTAACCAGAAACTGAGTTTCAGCAAAATTTTACAATTAAATTTCTTGCCAAATCAAGGGGCCCCTGTTCAACACTTTAACCAAAATCTGATATTTTATTTATTTATTTTTGAGAGTATATCACATTACTATAAATTTTTGTATCATTGCACATCCTTCTATGCTTAAAATGAAGTTTTAATATTCAGTTTTTCCATGATTAAAATTATATTGATAAAATGTACCAAAAACCATATGTCCTCAGTTGCACAAGAGAAAACCAATTTTTGATAATACAAGAACAACAAAAATTTTCAAAAATAAATTATAGCACAAATAAAAAATTCATGCAAATGAAAGTATAATGTAAACTGACCTCCTCTGACGTGCGTTTCTCGGCTGATGATAGCCCCAGCACTATTTGAAGCTAAGCACTGATAAAGAGTGTCATGGACATCTTGCCTATAATCACTGCGCGAGAAAGGAGGGAACACCAGTGTTCCATCTGATCTTGTATATCTAATACCCGATAAGTCCCTTGCGTTGGCTCCTTCTCTGTTTTGCCAACTGATTCTAGGAGATGGGATGCCTTCTGCGGAGCACCTAATTTCTGTACCACTGCTGTTCGAAAATTCTATCCGAAAAGGCGGCTCAGTTCTGAATCTAGGACCCACTTCTTCATCGCTGTTGGCATTCGAAGATATGGCTGGAAAAAAAAAATCAATTATTTACCTCATGATTTTAGTATTAGATATAAATTTATTTAGTTTCATAAAAATAATTAGGCTAAAATTGTTGCATGAATTTACATGAATAATAGTGTACAGTACGCAAAATAAAAACCGGAATACCCTGAATGACTTTTGATTGGATTTTCACGTATTATGACTTTATCTTAATGGTTCGTGGGCAATATCTTAAATATTTTGATTATTTATAGCTAACGATATTTCAAGTTACAAAATCAAACACAAAAAAAAACTACCTTCTTTTCGACGAATTTGGGAATCTAAATCTAAAAATATAGGATGTAGTCGTGCACAAAACGGTTTCAACAAATACCGACACAAATAATAAAACTAAAATAATTCCAATGTTTTTTAATTTATTGCTTTTCCCGGTGGATCTTCGTTATTAGATTAAGCATCCTTGGTGCCAATGCGACTACTTTTTACTGTTCTCCATAAAGAATAAAACTTTTTATTCGTTATGGAGAACTCCATTAATTTGGTTTTTAGTTCACACTGCACGTTTTTTTTAAATTTCAATAAGTAGATATTACTAACTTTGACGTCGATAACAGTTTGCAGATTTTTATGCTGTCTTAAAGTAATTAGTAACATTTCTCCATTAATTTTGGCTTTTAGTCCATAGCTTATTATTTTGCTTCGATTAATAGTTGCTACCAAAAGAAATTATTATTGGAGTAAATAATATTATTGGAGTTTTTTACTTTTATCCTCAACGATCTAATACCATATTTCCATTAATTTTGAGTTTTATCACGGAAGTTTTTTTTTTAATTCTATTCTACGGTGAAAAAAGTCATGGGTTATCAATATGCAAATATACAGATGGCAGTAGTATCACGCGCAAAATGTGTATATGGTTAAAGCAGGACTTTTATTTGTGCAGAAGTTATTCATCTGAGAATGTTCCTGATGTAATTATGACCGAAAGATGAGAATTAATAGACTTTGAACGTGGAATAGGAGTCGCATCGCATGGGATATTTCATTTTGGAAATTGTGACAGAAATCAACATTCCTAGATCTACAATGTCAAGAGTGTGCATAGAATACTTAATTTCAGGTGCAACCTCCAATTATGGACAACGTAGTGGCCGACCGCCTGCACTTACTGTTCAAGACTGCCGATGTGTACATAGAATTGTCAGTCTTAACAGATACTTAACATTGAGGGAAATAACCGCAAACATCAATGCGGTAAATGAAATGGACTTGTTCGTTAGAATAGTGAGGCGAAATTTAACTGTAATGGAATATGGCAGCAGAGCACATACTCGAGTGCCTTCTTTAGTGACATGACGTCACGTCACATCCAACGCCTCTTTCGAGCTACTAACTATTTTCGTTGGATCCTAGACAACTAGAAAATTGTAGCTTAGTCAGATGAGTCACTATTTAAGCTGACCGGAATTGATGGGGGAGCTCAAGTGAAGCTCAGGCCTTACGAAACCCTGAACACAGTTGTCTACAAGACACTGCACTGCGCAAACTAGTGGGGTAATGTCACCTACTTGGAGACCACTTACAGCTATTCATGGACATGCACCCAAATTACGACGGAATTTCTTATGGATGGCAATGTGCCATGTTATCAGATCTTTATTCTTCTCAACTTGTTTGAAGAACATTCTGGACAATTCCACCGAATGGTTTGGCCACCTAGATCACCGGACATGCATCTCATTGGATATTTATGTCGTATAATCGAGAGACTTTTTCTATTATGGACATATTTTTATACTGCATATGGCTAAATATTCCTGAAAGAGAGTACCGACTAATTGTTGAGTTGCTGCATTTCGTAATGTTTGGGCATGTCCGACATGATATTAAGAGGTATCCCGCGATTTATGTCACCTCAGTACATGACGGATCATCAGGCTGAGTTATTAAGGGATCTTGTCTCCCGACATGGCTGAAAAACATTATAATACTTCTTCTGCCTTCTACGCTGAAATGCCCTTAAACTCTTACTTACGGTGATTTGTTATTAATAAAATTTAATACGTAAAGAACTTCGACAATATCTCAGAAATCTCTTGAAAATAAATAAAATTGAAATTAAACTTTATAGAAACTTTATAAATTTTCAAAATATTCAAATCGGATTTTGCCACATCTCAAGAACTTTTTAAGCAAAATGAAAAAAAATTTACGTAATTATAAAAATCGTTTATCCAAACATAATTTCATGCAAAAGTAAAATTATGAAAAAATAATAAATATTAATAATTTTTACTATTTTATTTTATGATAGTCGAAAACAAATTGAATTGTAAAGTGTGAAATCTTTTACATCATTTTAAAGAATGTAAATCTTTATGACAAAATACAAAATTTGAGCGAAATCGAGTGAATAGTTTTTGAGAAATCAAATTTTTAAAATGCTGATTTTGCACGAATTTTTTATTTCACCAAGCAAAATTACATTTTCTAAAGTGATATAAGAAATTTTTTACCTTAAAATTCAAAATTAATTAAAATATTATTAAATTGAATAATAAAAATTATAAATATTTGCTATTTTTGTGGAATTATCCTTGGCTTATTTTATTATGGAAGTTATTTTTCATGAAATTATCTTTGGATAAGTAAATGTTATAATTGTGTACAAAAAGAAAGTTCTAATTTGTTAAAAAGCTCTTAAGGCATAGCTAAATATGCAAAAAGTCAAATTAACATCAAGGGATTCAAACTTTGGACCGCTTTCTTGACCACACTATTGGGGCCATACCTCCCTAATTACGACTACCCCCTATATTTCAAGGGTCAGGAATCTAAATCCATCAAACAAAGGTATATCTATTCAGAGGTATGTCCATTTTTAGCCTGATTTTGTTGCCTAAAATATTGCCTGCATTAACCAACAAGCATGTTTGAAGTCACCCCCTTGCACCATTAAGATCGAGTCCTAGAACCTGAAGATCCGATAATTAGATCAAAAGTTATTCAAGATAATACGGGTTTTTTTTTAATATGCTCTTATGAAAATAATTTCAAACATTTTTGTAATAGTTGCCAGATTACCAAGCACGAAGTTAAAGCACAAATCGAGGATAATGCCATATATTCTTAAGGCGCATTCATACTGACGTTAAGAACTTCATTTGATTGGTCTGTTACACTGGATTGGTCCGAAAAAATATATTTACGAAGGGTAATAATTTATTGTACTGGATAATTCAGAGTTGCTCATTTAAAAAGATCGAATTTTGAATACAACATTTAATTCGATAGCGTTTGTAAAAATTATTATCATTTACTGCTTTCCTTACAATAAAACTTTTAGTTGAAAAGTGGGATTCATTAATAACAAAGCTTGATAATTGTTTTATCACAAAATGTTCTTTCACCCCTCAAATCCATTATCATTAAACGTCTCAGACGGATATATCAAATGTCATCAACTATCGACGCCAATCCCAGGGACAATTAATAGAAATTCTGCTGCTCCTGTCACCCTTGGATGTCAAATTCTATATCTAAACATCTTATCTTTATTCTAGAACATTGTAGAACTTTCTTCGTTATTAGAATGTTGGAATCTTGTCTCTATCCAGAAGAACGCTTAGCTCAGAAACCCTCTACTTCCATTCGCGCATACTTTAATAATCTTCTTTTCTGGAAGATAACGATGCATAGAATCCCCCTTTCAGTACTAATTCTTAATTGCAGACGACACTAACGAGAAAATTATTTACAGACGCCGGAATAAGGGGTGGTCTTGGAAAGCTTTTATCGTTTTAGAGGAGGCGGAGGATAAAGGGAAGAGGTTGTGCGTTAAAGCGATGGTAATGAATGTATATTTTCGAAAAATTAAACCAGCAATCTCCTGCCAACGCTGCATTGTTAAGAAAAAAAAAAGAATTTTCGTTGAAAGAACGGGAATTATTAAGAAAGCTATATAATGTGAGTGACGTTATTCTAAAATAGTCATTAAGAGAAGCTTATTAATTGGTGCGCGCTCACAATGTAAGGTGACTAAGAAAAAAAACTAATCATGTCTAAGTTTTTTTAGCACCACGTGATCACGCGAATGTGATTTAATTTCTTAGAAAAAAGTTTTCTCGAAGACAAATTTTTTTTGGTACTTAAACTTTTCATATTTTTTGGATTGATTTCAGAGTTTCAAAGCACAAAATTGAATTCTAAAAAGTCACACATCCTCTATGTGAATCAGAAGTTCAATGCCAGATGTTAAAATCAATCAGTCTATTTATTATTTTTTAATTTTGATTTTTTTACAGAATTACACAATCAATCATTAATTTATTCCACAATTTTTTGGACAATCTGACTTTAAAGCGGACAACTAAAAAGCCAAAGTTAAACAATGATTTTGGGATATACCATTAAAAAAATTTTTACCAAAAAACCTTGGATTACAGACAAAATACAAATAAAACATTTATTACATTTACTGTTAATTAAAAAAAGTCTGCTTTCACCCGCGAATTTAAAATTTACAGAATTTTAAAATGAATAGTTTTTCTAGTCTAAATTAAAATTCCCTGTTTCAAAATTGAGCTACAAATAAGGTAACAGACATTTTATCTTATGTTCACAATACATTATATATACAGTTTACTTGGTCTGATACCAATTGAAGTGATTTTAAAACCTCAGATTTTAAACCTCTATTGCATTGCGCTCAAATAAACTGTCCAACAGCAAGTGTTTTAGATTAATCTGATTAAAGGGGCAATATGAATCAAGTAAATCTGAAAATACCCTGTTGAAAAACGTAAGCATGGAGTTTTTAGAAAAAAATATGAATACGATCTATGAAGGGAGAAATAAAATTACTCTAAAAAAAGTATGATACGAAGCAGCCAGTGTGAGCTTTGCCATTGCATACGTTACTATGATAAAAATCATCTGTGTTCGATCATTTTTATATTCATTATTACTCTCTAATTATCTGAAAAAATGTGAAAATAACTATGAAAATACCACT